ACATTTGAATAAACAGGGACAGATTTCTTTAGTTGTTGATTAATAACTCTGCTGATAACCACAGTCTAATTTACTAAATCGGTGGAGACAAATGGAGTTTAAACAGCCGATCCAGGAATCTACCCTTGGATGACAAAAACCAAGAATCCTGGTGACTAAGCAAGTTACAGTAATAATCATTTAACTAATAATGTTTACTTGGTTCTACCCTTGGTTTTGAATGACCTATAAATTAACTACAACTTCAAGTTCTAGTTAATAATATATTTATAATCTACTGGTAAAATATTACAACAAATTCTAATGACCAATCATGCAACTTTATGGGGGGAGGATACAAATGTAAACATTTACCATTTTTAAAGTAATTCCCCAAATCAGAAACTCAACTTTTTCCAGCTTTCAACATTTTCAATGCTTCTGAAAGTGAAGTGTGAACATTACTGAAAAAAAAATATCTGTGGTCAATGTTGCCAAAGGTGGAATTGGCGCAATGCCAGAGAATGAAGAGAGATTCCTTTTGCTTGTAAACATATTTGGACCATGAAAAAAAAATAATACAAAAATACTATTTCAGTAAAAAAATGAATAATTACTTAACTTTAGTATTGTTTGCATGTTTATTAAAGGTATAGTGGAGGATTTTCGTGAATTTCTGAAAAGACGTGCCCTCTCCACGTTTTAAAATAAATGCACATGCACAACCCTTTTCCCACTCCCGAGAGGGAACGCCTATTGAACCGGTGTGAGAGCATGCACAAGCCCATTTCTCCTCGTGCATGCTCTGTTTAAAAGTTGCTGTTTGCATCGCTCATGCAAACCTACTTTCCAAAAGGAGATTTGCAATTTTTCCATTATGTCAGACTCACCACCGGTAAGAGAAAATGGGGATGAGCACATAGTATGGCCTTACTTATACATATCACCAGAATGATTGACAATTAGGATGACCACTTATTTTGATGATCCCCCAAGAAAAAGAACATCCTCCACTATACCATTAGAAATACAATATCAAGCCTGCAAAGAGAGATAAAATCAATGGAAGTCAAAGGTAGTCAACAGATGGTCCTTACTACATAACAGACCAAATTGGTTATTTTTAATCATATTAGTATCGTTTGATAAGTAAAACCGGACCAATAAAAGCGATCCATATGAGCGACCGATATGAGCAACCAATTTAAGCGACCAATATGACTGACATGAGCTGTGTCACAGTAACTGTGATGCAGTTCAGCATTGTCGGTGTTTATCTGAACCTAGGAAGCAATGGGAGCACTGCAGTCAGTTTTTCATGGTTCCCAAAGCATGGGGCAATGTATGATTAATGACATATAAATATTGTATATTGATATTGACTTAGATGTGATATAGTGTATTCATATATTTTTTCTTTTTACTTGGTTTAGTTAAATGTTGCTAGAATAAATATATAGTTTACTGCATCGCTGATTTTGTCTATAAAGCGAACAAATTTTGTTACGAAATTATTATGTCTTGGAGAGAAGATGTTTCTATTGATTCTGTTTATTTGTGACATGGTGCACAAATTCACTCCTTTACTTTTCACTCCATAGGGCCATGAGATCATGCAGGAATTTACAGAACAATATCCTGAAAGAGAGTAGGTTGTTTGGCTAATAATTCTTGATAACAGACTGATGTGTTTTTGATTTTATTTGGGTATAAGTTGGTTCATATTTTATTTTTTTATCCCACCTGTATATTTGTATTGAAATGACTTTAAACTTTAAACCCACAATGTACCTGCAGTGCTCAACATAGACTGCTGGGCTTAATGTGCTTTACTTAAAAGAAAACCCTAATCTGTAATTGTTTATTGGGATTTTTTCTCCTTCATGTTTTCAACCTCTGCTAGACTTCCCCAATAACATTCAGGATTTTTGTGATGCATTGGCAAAATATATACTATAACCAGAATCTTTTAATTAATCAGAAAACACACTCTATGGTCACCAGATAGCCAGTTGAGAGCTGTTGTACTGACATCTTGTTAAAAATGAGATGCTTTCACCCTGAAATAGGTTTGTCTTCTGCTAGTAAAGACAGCAGCCAGTTGGGGAGAAGTCTTGAGAAATACCCAGGGGCTGCTGGCAGAGTTAGCGCCCTGCATCGACATATGGTACATCCCCACCATATGTCCACACATACGAGCACTTCTAACACAAATGGCCACAATGAAGTCTCCCGCTTGCTGAACACGCTTGCATAGTAGAGGTTAGCTGTAAATTGTTTGGTGGTTATTTACCTCACAGCACCTACTTTTCAAGATCCCTTTTTTTAAGTTGCAGCATTGTTTTTGGTTACCACAAAAATCACGTTATTACTGGTATGCTCTTCTTTATCAGCAAAAATACAGTTTTTCAACTTTATAGCAGTGTTGATTACATAATGCAATTTCTTGTCAAGTTCTTCTCAAGGAAAACACATTTTAAAAACTTGTAGACATTTTTAAATGCACAATTTTATTTCAAAGATAATTAACATTTTCATGTTTAGGGTTTAAAACTGCATCTTGTCATTCCTTGAAATATTTGAAAAATTATCTTAAGAAATATTTGAGGAGCCCAAATGAGAATTCATAGTTTGAAGGTTTAAGCTTGGTTTTGTTCCGAGTTTAATAAAAAAAAAATTTAAAGTTGTGACAAATTTTACTCTAAACTACTCCTGCTGTTTAAACTCTGATTAATGCGATGCCAGAAAACAACTGACCAGAGTTTTTGAAGCTTTTTAAGGCACAGAGGAGCACAGCCCTTCTCCATCCTGACCTATCACCAGCAGAAAGAAGATTGCTATACTGTGTTAGTTTTTACTGACAAAAAAAACAAAATGAAAATTGGATGTTTTGTAAAAACTTTGTCATAAGAAGTAACATATTTGTCAACTGGATTGACTAATTAATCTCAGTTCCCTATACTGTACTTTAAAAAAAAAATCACATTATGAGAAGAACAACAACAAGGGATTACATTAAGGGGTTTGTGTTCGCGATAAGAAAATATCTATATGAATACATATATACATAGGTATGTGGATGGATGGATGGATGGATGGATGGATGGATGGATGGATGGATGGATGGATGGAGCGAAAGAAATGCACCTAATACATTTAACACCCGTTCTATAGAACCATCAACAGCAGTAACTGCAAAAACATATTTTTTTGTTAAATTATGAAGCCACATGCTTTGCTGTAATATCTAGGTCAAAAAGATGATGCAAGCAACATAGTTTGCTTGTGAAGAATTTTTCTCAAAAAACGTTAAGAACTATGGTAAAGTACTTGATTTCTTTTCTACTGTATGTGACAGCTTATCATTGTGTAAAGTTTTAAGCACAAAAGAAAGCAAAATATCAGATACTAATAGGAGCAAAAAAAAAGATTTCCTCACTAGGTGGGCTGTTGAGCACTATCTGTAAACTAAAATATGTGAAAAAGTGATGGCCCTCTCTACATAACTCCACCATTTACAAAGGATAAATCAGAATCACTTTCTAGAAAAACATGTCTTGAGAAGAAGTAAGCAACTCATAATTTTATCAGGGAACTTAATTTTGGGAAATTATTATCTTCAGTTGAGTTTTCAATCCAATTTAGTTTTTCACATCACTGTTTATTTATTTAATTCTACCTAAAATAATAAATCATTGCTTCAATCTCATTTAAGTTTAAGAATTCCTTACAAAGAGCTGAATGAGAGATGAATAGGATAGGTTCATTCAAACAGCACCAGCTAGTTACAGTCAAGTAGAGTAATGTTTCCCTTAAAAACTGAAAAATACTAGAAAATGGTAAAATGTTTTTGTACATAAGTTTAAAAGCAATATTTTACAGTATTTTAGTCTACATTCAGTAAATGTTATCATCATTTTTTTAGGGGATGTTTATTTATTTATTTTTAGGGGAGTGGCGCACTAGTGGTTAGGGCATGGCTTGAATCCTGAGGTTCTGAGTTCAAGCCCAACTCCAACAGACTGCCACTCTGGGTCCCTGAGCAAGACCCTTAACCCCACGCTGCATCCCACACTGATTTTGTTCAGTTGGGAGGACTGTGAAAGTAGGATGAGTACGGATGAGTCCCAAATTGTTCATAACCATGTATGATTAAATTTAAAATTAATCTAATTTGACCAACAAGTTTATTTTTGATTTAACATAGCAAGTAACCAATTAAAAAATATATATTAACCTGTTTTTATTCACATAAAATTAATCCTAAAATACCTCTACACTAACAAATACATAGGAGATTTTGTTTTTATGCCATTTTGGCATTCAAACCTTTCATGTAATCGCTGACTACTATTTGACAGACTATTTTGAAAGTCTTCATGGTTGGAAGAAATTTTTGAGGTTCCAGAGGTTGTCTACCTAAGTCTACAAGGGGTATGAATAACTTTGGGCTAAACTGTATATCATTATGTTTTTATACACATACCTAAAATTAATCGGTGCTCATCTTAAAAGGAAAATGTTTTCAGTTTGAAATTATGTTTTAAAAAAATATATTTGATGATCTAAGATGATTGGAAATACCTTTAGAAAAAATACTGAGTGAGTTAATTGTTACTGAAGCATCAAAGTATACCATTAACTGTACACTGAAATACCACGATACTGTGAAACCATGAGGTTTTAAGACCATGAACATCTCATATCGGTTTATACTCATTCCTGACAGATATTTTTTTTGGTTTGTGTGTGTGCTTATTATGTGAGACAGAGCATGAAGTTCCCAAACTGACTCCTGCATGGTGTGGGCAGCAGTGTGGAGATGAGGTTATGTGATCACATCAGGTCAGTGTGGGCAGTATCTCAAGCTGGCAGCTGGAATTCAAGAAAGAGTGAAAAAAAATGGTGAAAGCCTGCACTAGATTGAGAGTTGGGAAGCCTGAAGAGGCAGCATATGATCTGCTGGGGTGGTTCCGGTATGAATGTGCAACAGCGTATGAATTTGTGTGTGCGTGATTTACCATATAAAGTCGGTGCAGTGGCTGCAGAAGGTGGGCTGCTTGAAGAAGCGTGCTGTGAACTGATGGTCTTTCACCTCTACAATCCTCTTGTGTTTGAGTGCTCCCTTCCTTTGAAACACGGGTACCCTGGGTGGAGGGGAGAGGGGTGACGGCAGTGCGGAGGATGGTGATGTTGGGGAGGTCAGTGATAGGGGGGAGAGGGATGGGGAAGGGGACACTGGGGTGGACATGATGCCTGTAGAATATGTCAAGAGAAGGCTAAGAGATGTGTGTTGGAGAATGTGGGGGGGCGGGAGCAAGGAGGACAATGGACATAATAGGTCACACAAAGACAGGAAGTGATAATAATGCAAGACAGATTGTAGGGTTGGGAGCAGAGAAAGAGTGGCATGATGAAGGGAAAGATCGAGAAGGAGATGGAGGGAGTACAGAAAGCGACAGGTAGGAAGCAAAAGAAAAAAAAAAGAGAGTCATAATGAAGAAGACAGGGAGGTTAATTCAAATACAGAGAAAAAGGTCTCTTGAGAAACTCTAAGAAGCTAAACAATTAGCTCAACTAGCTGTGTGTCCCAAATACTGGCTGTCCATCCTGCTGCAACCCTCATATGCTATGAATACCCACACCCAACCCACCCCTCAGACGTTATGTCAACTACCTCCTGTTGCCATGTCAACAACACCCCACCAGCTGCTCCAGTACTGGAGCCTGCATCCTCTCGTCGTCTTCCTGCCTGCCCTTATTAGCAATTAGTTCTATTTCTGCAGAAAGTTTGGGCCAGAATAACATTTGCTCATCTGCAGGGAATGGAACATTCAGAGAAGAAGTTCAAAAAGGCAAATATTGGATGGAGGAAGTGAGTTACACGCTGCTGAAATCCATATAAATGCCTTTTGGCAATTTGATGAATAAATAAATGCAACTAGCAAATTTTGATGGTAAATTGATCATCTCAGCATTAAAGCAAAAACTTAAAAAGAATGCATATACAATGGCTTATAATTAGCCTGATTAAAAATACTTAAGAGACGTGTACCAACCTGTACTACAGAGATGGAAAACACTAAATACAGTACCTCAGTTTTTGGTAACTTTGAAGAGAGCTTGCCAAAGACCGTCTATCCTTTTTCTTCTGCTTCACTCTTCGTCTCAATGTCTTCAATTGAAAATGTGGGGTGGACCTGTAGCTGATCAACTCAAATAAGGAAAGTATACAAAATAAAAAAACAAACCCCAAAAAAGCATAAGGAACCAGGAAAAAGCAGCGTCTAGGAGCAAAAAAGCAGCTCAAAAAGTGAAAAAGAACAACATAACTTCAAATGCACGCAACAGGCAATTTTTGTGGTTGAAGTTTTCAAAGAAGCAAACATAGAGCACTAAAATGGAATAAATCCGTTATCCCAGAGGCAGGGTAAGTAGGAGTACGGGATGGAGAGGTGGTATTCTCTTTCCAAGACTGATTCTGTTTTACAAGGAAGAGGATGAGAGATGGAGAGAGGATAAGAGAGAAAGAGAGAGTGGCAAAAAATAGAGAAAGAGAGAGAGGAGAAAGATCGAGGGGAATAGGCAGCGATTCATTTTGAAATCTGGGTTACTTCTCTCAGGAGAGTGTGAGGGAACCACAGCAAGGAGGACAGAGGAAGGAGAATCTGCCATTTTGCCATAGTCAGTACAGTATGGACTATCCAGTGCCAAATGGTCCCCACTTCAATTGTGCCAAAAAAAAAAAAAAAAAAAAAAAAAAAAAAAAAAAAAAAACGAGAAATGGGGAATGAGAAAGAATATTCTACTAAGAACCAAAATGATTCAAGAACAGCATGTCCAAGAAACATTCAGTAACAAAGCAATCATAAGACCTGATATATGAGCAGTGGCACTATGTCCAATGCATATTAATGATCATGAGATCAGAAGAAGTTGTGACATGGCAACAGGGTCCCACACTGCCCTGAAAACAGGTCAACTAAGCCTGATGGGAATGGTATTTTACTTCAATAAGGGGGCGTCGAGCTATCGATTGCAAACATATACATTTACAAAGCAAAATGTCATATATAAGGTCTTCACTTAAGTTTAAAGAGTCCAGTTTTGATGTCTGAAACAGCATACTTTAACTTGGATAATGAAAAATAGGACTCATGGATACGATATGTAGAAACAGTTGGCCAAGGGGCTTAAACATTTAAACATATTGTCCAAGCAAAAATCATGACTGGAGTGGGAATATATCTGTTCAGTAGGGAAAAAGACAAAATAAGAAGTAAACATTTTAAACAAATAATTGATAACATATTTGTTGGCAAATAGAATAGCTGTGATTAAAAGCTCAATTAAAGCATTTTTGTTTCTTTAAATGGCCTTTTGCTCTTCATTTTGAAATTTATTAGTTACTGTTTTTTTTTTTTTTGGATATCTATAAAACAAAATGTTACGATGTATTGACAACAGGTGACTGAATTACTACTGATAACGTCAGAGAGCTAACAATTTAAAACATCAAAGTGCAAACTTTGCATTCATACTGTACAACTGCAGACATGTAATTTAAGCTAAGGTTCTCCTTATCTTTAGTCAGAGAAGTAAATATAAAAGCCTAAAAGAACTGAAACTGCTATAAAAAAGGTAAGATGACCCAAGATTTTCTCTTGCACCAAGGGTGAGGGAAGTTGTTGCAACAATATCATCAGTCATTAAGTCTCTATAAAAGAAAAGAAAAAAAAACGATTCTATATATATTTATATATAATTTTTTTTGCATTTTTTTTTTTTTTTTTTTATGAAGTTCAGGAAGAACGTTAAGCTAGGTGAATAACTTTCACCCATGACTGGTATAAAAAAAGACTTGATGATCAAACAAACAGGCTGTTACTGCTGTGGGATAACAGACTGTGGGATTTTTCAGATCAACTGTAGCCAACTCTGCACCAAACTCACAGGGAAAATGTTCAAGAGCACACAGATTTTTGATGGTTTATATTTCTGGAATACTCTCCCACAAACATGTAACTTTTTACCCATATGTGCATATGACTTAGACAGCTTTCCCATTGGTCTTTGATATAGTCATGTTAAGAGGTTGAAAAGTGTTTGTGGTTGTGAGGCAGTCTGTGAGTTTGTTTTAGATGATTGTCAATTTCAGCTTTATTGTAAAACTTAAATTAAATCTTAATAGTCAATTATTTGTTTGGACAGAAACTAAACATAGAAATTGATCATAAAAAAAATCTATTTGCTTTATAGGTGAAAATATATTTTTTTAAATGTTTTTTTTTTAATTAGGCCAATTACACTTATATTTATCATGTGAATAGTTTGTTTAATTTAAATAAAATCCTTTGTCGATTATCACTTAATTATAATTAGTGAAGTTTCTTTAATGCTGTTTTGCACTAATGTTCATAGGGGAAATAAAAAAAGTTATTTTTCAGCTATTATTCTATATCTTAGTTTCTCTTTTTGGTTGACGGTCTCCACTTCTCAACACTTGCTTGTAGTTGGGTCCGACTCCAGTTTACACTACTTGACTACATCCAGATGCACAGAAAAAAACATGTTTTTTTCTAAATGTGTTTTTCCCCCTCCTACACTTGCAGTCTTCACCTTCTTTCTCATTACCAGAATCTGTCTCTCCCTTTTGACTGACTGAAATTGCTGCAGACTGATTTAGACTTTTCAGGACAGGGAATCAGATAAAGTATTCTGTAGTGGTCTTTAAAAACCCTCTTTCTTTAAAAAAAAAAAAAAAAAAAAAAAAAAAAAAAAAAAAAATAAAAACCCTCTTTCTGTCCCACTATCACAGATTTAGGATTGTGTATTTTTCCTAATTGCAAGTGGGACATTACCAGCATCCACGTAGGCAACAAACCCACTATGAAATAGGAGATTAATAACATATATTTTTTTTTACACAAACCACATATTGATTACTGTTAAGTATGGTGGATTATCTGTTATGTTGCTGGTCTGTTTCTCCCAGAAAAATCTTGTGAGTCTTGTTGAAATGCATGGTCGGAGATTTTGAATAAGCATCTCTGTGTGATAGTTGAAACTGGGTCATTAGATCTTTCAGGAGGATAATGATCCAAAATTTAAGATCAACACAAAAATAGTTTGACAGATTTTAAACCTTCTGAAATGTAAATGCTAAATGCTATGCTGCTGATAAAAGGGGGCACTTCAAAGTATTAACATGCAACATATTAATAATTGCAGCATTTTTTTTTACATTATTAAACCTGACTTCACTGTTATAATTTTACTTTTTACCAGGATAACACTGCTATTTAACTTTATAGCTCCTGTTAGCCATTAAAATGTTTAATGTGTATATTTATGTTTACCTTTTTTGAGTGTTTTCTGAAGCATATTGACTAAAATCACTGAATCAATTTCATAAGAAGAGCAGAAAAAATGGGGATGAATTAACAAAGCCATTGAAGTACAAGTATGGGGTGAAGTATACCTATTAACATCTAATATGTATAGAGGAAATTGCTGACAAATTTATACTAAAATAAAAATGTAATTATTGTAACCTTGGGCAAAATAAAGAAAATATTTAGCAACAGATGTTTAAATTTGATTATTTTTGGAGTGAAGAGCAGATCATTGTGCCAACAAAAGTACCTTGAGACCTCAACAAAAATCTGCATTGCCAGGAAAGCATATATGAATCTGACGAAGGCTTAAATGTTCTTCGAATACAGATGCTTATGGGCAAACTGGTAAGGATAGTTTTTTTTATTTTATTTTTTGTCCATACTTTCAAGGTCAAGGTCTTTCAAAACTACTAAATTCCTTCATATGTTCTATGTAGTTTGGGAGATTTTATGTAATAGACCAAACCCAGCAGTGCATTATTTTGAAGCTGCAGGAGCAGAGAGCATTGCAAAACTAGCTAAGTTATTATATATTTATATACAGTCCTGAAATGTAAAAAACTACAAAAAAAAACAACTAAGAGAAATAAATAAATGCCACTCCCCAATAAATAAATAATCTAAGACTTAAGATTGAATAATGTATCGGTGTCTTAGTCAAAATGTTTTTTTTTAAAGTAATCAAAACTTATTTAACATCACAAAAACAGTATTTAAAATCACACAGCATAATTATAGTGGTTAAGACTGAACTGCAATTATTAACTGCAAACCTGCTGATTCTTTCAGATGCTTGGGGCAACAAATAAGATGATTTTGACAGTAACCTTTTACTATCGCAGCTCTTTTAGCAGTGATTGTACTTTCAAGCAGTTCTGTAATGTATTTCAGTCCAAAAGTGTGAACAAATGCTTGCCCTCTAAATGTCAGTAATACAAAGACACGCACAGATGCCTAATCACTGTACAATGCACAGATGTGGTCTTTAGTAGATCCTGTGAGATGGGAGCAAAGAAGCAGGCGAACAGGGGATGATGGGGTGGATTGGTGTGGGACGAAGAGACTGAGAGAGGGAGCAAGGGGTTGAAGGTCTAATTAATGGAAATGTAGGTTATTAGTCTCCTGATGAGGACACAGGCAGAGAATTAATTAACAATTATAATTAGCAAGATTGTTAGAGAGCAAAATGGTGTCATCCAGAAAGATAAGGATGAGTTTGTCTGCGTGCGTGTGCATCAGAGGCCATTGTTGAGTGCCTTTGCAGGAAAAAAATGAAACAGCTGTGTGAACATGCCGTGTCTGACAATGATATGTTATTTCAGCATTAGTCATGCAGAAACAGGAGCTGATTGGGTATGATAGGGGGCTTTCCTGCACACAGACCGTTACCAGACGAGCTGCCTTTACTGACATAATTTTCTGGCTCATAAGACTCTCACTTTCCATCAGCCTTATCTTAGTCATGCTCTTTTTCTTTTGTCACAGACAAATTAGGAGAATGCATATGCATAGTGGTACAGAAAGAGAGAAAGAGACAGTGAGTGAAACATTACCACAAAAACACAAGCCTGGATACTGAAAATTAAGCATTTAAGAACTAAACATAAAAAGCTTCCATTTCTTCTCCAGGCAAGATGAGTCAGCACTTGTGGCCCCAAAGCTTTTCTATTAGGGTGCTTTTGCATGCAATGAAGCATGGTTTCCAGTGTTTGATCATAAAAACAAGTGGAGGGCTGGTGTGCTGCCAGCCAGCGATGCATTAAACAACCAAAAGCACAAACTCAACAAAAACTCACTAATTGAGACTGTACAATTAAAAGCCTTGACATAGGCCTTTAGAAAAAAATAAGGATGGATGAATTAATGAAACACTATTAAAACTAAACTCTCTATAAATGATTCTTCCCCATCAGCCTCTATTCTCTCCTTTTTGTTTCAGTCTACAGATGGCTATCAAATTTGTTCTGACCATGGCTTAATGAAACAGAAAATTCTGCACTGATAGAATCTTTTTTTTTCAGGGGGAGCAATCATTACTTTAGCAATTAAATGCATCTATTATCATGTAACGAGTGCTCGTTTGCATCGAGCTTCAACCCAAAAGGGTTGAATCTTCAAAAAGGAATTAAGGTAAATTGACTTATCCAACTGTTTTTCTTAGAACCAGGGGGAAAATGGTGTCTGTGGTATATTTCCATTAAATTTGGGTGGTCATTACCAAACTGGCTCCTTTTCCCAGTTGATCATTTTGTTTTTGGGTGGGAGTGCTTCTATTTATTTTGCAAATGAAAAGTGGGGTCTGTTGTGTTTTTGGAAGAGAGCAACCAACCTCAAAGCCAGTCAGAT